TTGTCAACCCCTGCCCATTTCTGGTCAGGAAATCCCAAGCTGGTGGTTGTGCTCATAGAGGAAAGTGATGTCAAATGGTTTGGTTTTAAACTGCAGCTACACCTCCAAGCACAGTGTGGTAATGGAGAATTAACCCTCCGTGTGCTGCTCTTCTCTCACGTCCTGAAATGTGGGAGAAGGTGGAATAATGGTGCTGATTAAATATGTGCTGGCTCTGCAGCAGCATGGGCAGGGGAGATGAGAGAGCAGCTGGGCTGGGGTTTTCCTCCAAGCCCAGCTTTCATAACAGGCCTCTGTTTTCATTTGTGGTGTGCAGGGGGTTCGCCAGGAAGCATTTATTAACATGAAATATGAAATAGAGTCCTTTTCCTTGTGAATGTTGCCAGAAGCTTTGTAATTGAGTCTCTTTCCTGTGTCTCCCCCTTGCTCAGTTTGAGTCATGGCACTCTGTGCAGCGGTGGGATGATCAGCTCAGCACTGGTAACACACACAGCATCTGCCTCTTCCTCTTGCCTTTTCCCTCTTCCTTCTAACCTTTGTATTTCCACTCCTTCCTCCCGAGTGTGCTCTGGTGGTTTCCAGAATAGCAGCTCTGTGTTACTGAGTTCTTCTGACTGTTCTTTTCCCTGTTTACCTCCCTCGTTTCTGAACTGCTCTCTGTAGATCTATTGATGCTATCCCCGACAACCAAAAGTATAAGCAGTTGCAGAGGGAGCTTTCTCAAGTGTTGACCCAGCGCCAGATCTACATCCAGCCTGATAACTAAAGCACTCCAGGTACCCCCTGCCTGTGCGGTGACAACCAGCACTAAACCAGGACTCACCAGCCAAGACCTGTGCATGATAACCCAGACCAGAACTAACCCCTAACTCCCGCAGACTGGGCAACGACGTCTGAGCCGTGCTTCACCCAAGGGTTGTTTCCTAATACAGCCAACTAAATGCTGTGATTTTTGATGTTAGATGTTGCTCCACTTGGAGTGACGTTTGGAATGTCACGCTCTGGGATGTGGCAGGATTTACCACTTGGCACTCTTAGCTTGGGAGCAAGGAAGGAGCATGTGGTCACGTCCCCAAAGTGGCGTTAGCTTGGAGTGATTCGATCCAGAAGCCCCGGGACTCTGTCCCTTGTTACAGTGAAGAAACTCCTGGTAATCTGAACATCCTCCCTGTAGGAAGGAGCAAAATCTTGGAATTCTCACAGTTTTGGGGGGAAAAAAACCCAAAAACTGAGTGTTACTCCCCATGACTCCCGAGTAAACGTGAGCTCACGCCACGAGCACATCCCTGTTTGCCTGGTGCATCTTGAATCCCTTGGAGCTTGGAATTCCATCCTGGTCAAGCTCTACTGAAGCATTTTGAGTCTCTGCTTCATGCTCTGCACAGCCTCTGAAGGGCTTTGTTCCTGTGCTCACATTTGCTCTGGAGCTCTGAATGTCCAGCAGTGACTAACTCTGAGCCAGTTTAACCTTCCACTCCATAACGAGTTGCAGATGTCTTAAACACGTTAAGCTGATGAAGGGAAAAATGCTCTATTTGTTGATAATGGCCAAGAACCACTTCTTCAGCCTGTGACAAATGCAAATAGCAAATGTATATATTCTTATTAAAGCAGTGGAAGTCTCCAGAGACAAGAGAATGGAAATAGTGTTAAAAACTGTTAGGAAAACAACTGCCACAAAGAGCAGTCTTGTTTACAGGAGCAGCATCCAGGGAAATAAGGTAGTTTTGAGTCCTGGAAAGGGTGTGAAATTGGGTTTGTGTGGGGAGAAATCCTACCAAACTCTGACCACTTCTGTGGGAGCAGCTCCTGAAAGGTGTCCAGTATTATTAGTCTGTCAATGATCATACTGAAGAGGGCTTTTGAAAAGTGGGAATTTCTTCCTGTCCCATTGCAAACAGAGGTTCCTCCGCAACTCTTCCAGGGCAATGAGCCAAGATGACTCCTAAAAGATGTCATTTTTCTTCCACAACCAAACTTGTAGCAAAAGGGAACCCCTGCAACAGTCTTGCTGACAGATTCTGTGTTCTCCTTCAGCTGATTTGATTCCCCAGTGCCTGTAGGTAAGGTACAAACTGGAAAAGCCAATTTGGGAACAGGAATCCGGCTGCTTTTCCCCCTTCCTGGTGAAGCCACCGGAGGGAGGTTTTGCTGCGGCTGCTGGACCCTGGGTGAACAGTCTGCAAAGGGCTCAGGAGCTGCCCCAGCCCTTCTCCTCTTCCTGGGGAGAGGCTGGATTTTCTCTGCCTTCCCATCACGGTCCTTTGGAGAGCAGGAGCGCTAACACCCTTCGCTGGTGGGACATGGGCTTTCCAAGCTCTAACATAAACCAAACCTGGGAATCTCCCTCCAGCAGCTGGAGGCTGAGCGGAACCGCTGGGGCAGCACGTGTCTCTTGGTGCCATCCTTGCTGGAGTGAAGTTTGCTTTGATATTCTCCCTGGAGTGTTCACTTTGCCTTCTGCTTTCTGTGTTAAACCAGGCGAGCTGAGCTCGGTGTCTGCTGGGCCAGGGTTGAGGTGCTTCTCCTTCCTCCTGCCCCACGTGCCAGGAGCCCCTCGAACCACCTCCTCTCGCCTCTGACTCACGTCTCCTTCTTCCCCGCAGGTCTGTGCAGACTTTTGCAGACAAATCAAAACAAGAAGCTCTTAAAAACGACCTGGTGGAGGCTTTGAAGAGAAAGCAGCAGAGTTAAAGTCCTCTCCATGCTAACAAGACATGCCATGCACTCGTTAGATTCCTTTCTTAGAGAACTCATCCCTCCCCTTTGCCCTTTTCTGTTCCGTCACGTCACGATTTGCATTCAGTACTACCCATGCAACGCCATCTCCTCCCCATGAATAAAGCTGTACAAACTTTTTCAGTCTCTGAGGCCTACTTTGCACCACATCTTACTCGTGAGACTTTAGGCTATGTCTGTAGAAGTCCATGTATTTTTTTTCCCCCTTCTCCTCTTCCACCCCCCTCCCCATCTATACGCATAACCACGGATCATTGTTTGTCTTCTCCTTCCCCCTCCTCCTGCCTTTTGTTACATTGGTGTAAAAAATGTAAAACAAGAATTTATTAAATACTGTGGTGTGTGAAAGAAGAAGAACTGGAAAAAAGAAAAAAAGACTAATAAATCTATTCCACGTATGTCTGGGGCTGGGCACAGGGAATGGCTGGTGGGAGGGAGGGGAGAGAGGGTGTTCCTCGGGCTTGTACTATACTGAGTAAACCAGTTGCAAGGAGATGTTGATGAGGAGACCTGCTGAAAGTTCTGCTCTTCCAGAGCCTGGTTCCGAGGCGCTTTTCTGTCAATTTTTATGGAATGCAAAAAGGGTTTTCTTTTTGGTTTGATTTTGGGTTTGGTTTTTTTCTTTTTTGTAAAGCTTAAATTGAATCTACATCTGAGACTTGAGCCTCCATACAAAAAAAAACAGAAAAAAAGAGAAAAAAAAGACTAAAATGACAATAAAAAACCTCCCAGGAAGCAGTGTGTGTGCCAGTGGTGTCCTTCTTATTTCTCTTCCCTTCCTTACAGGGTTACTTGGGGGTTGTGCTGGCAACGCTCTCTTCTGCAGCACCTGAAGCCATCGCTGGGGCTGAGGTAGGTGGATGTTGCTTGAAAACAATGGCAGAAGTCAGTAATCCAACAGCCTCTGCCTTATCTGGCCACGGAAAGTGGGAAAGTGGCTTTTTCCCCCCTTTTTTTGCACTTTTTTGCTCATCTCCAGCTGAGCTGAAGCTTGTTTGTTACAGAGAGGGTGGGATGTCCCGCTCCTCGCACACGGAGTGTGGTGTAGCTGCGTCGCCCATGGGCCTGATGCCCATTTGGGATGCTGGCACTGGGATGTCAGCATCCCGTGGCTGGGATTGGCACTTCCACCATCCAGCAAACATGGGACGGGTGGATTTAGAGGAGGATTAGTCCAGCTTTGCTGGGTCTGTTCGCAATGGCTGGGGGGGATCGCGTGTGCCAGAGCATCCCAGCTAACTTGGCAGCTTGAGGTGGGTGGTTCCAGCCACTGGTGCTCACCCAGAAGCTCCTCAGGTGGGTCCTTGTGTCCTTTGTGAGCCTCGTGTAGAGCCCCCTCCTTAAGCACTTGGTGGGCCCCTGCCCAGCTCCTATCTGCTGTGGTTACAAGTGGTCCTGGTGAACCCGAGGAAGCAGATACCCACCGGGGTGGAGCAGTGGAATTAGCCTCTGGGTGAACCAGATCCAGACGTGGCGTTGCTGCTGATTAACATGCTCTAATGTTGCTTTCCAGTGTGACCCGTTCCACATCCCCACATCTGCAGGTCATTACGGAGTGTTCTCTCAGGAGCCTCTGGTCTGGAGCACAGCTCGCACAGGTCAGGCTGCTCCAAGCCCTGTCCAGCCTGGCGCTGCCAGGGATGGGGCATTATCCCTCTTCTCCAAGCCCATAAGCTGCTGGTTTGTGCACTGACCCCCGGCTCTGGCAGCAGTTCACCACTGTGGGACCAGCTCTTCCTGCTTTGTCCCTTCTCTGGTGTAACACTTCCCTCTGCAGAACCTTCAGTTCCAGCTCTCCGGGGAACCTCAGCCAGAGGCTCTTTGTGACCCCAGTTTCCACTCACCACTACCCCGATGGCTGCATTGGCTCCCCTCCCGCACGCACCCCCCACCCGCCCCCCCCAGCCACTCACCTCGTGCCATCTTCCCCAGCCTGAGGGAAAGAAACAGTAAATCAGCTTTGTCCTTAACCTGTGCTTTGGATACACCTCTGGGAACAAACTGCGGGGTTTAGATACATACACATTTACCTCTTAGGTTGGAACTTCTTTGTCCAGCATTGGGAGAGGCCTCAGTGAATCAGTGCAGGGCTGTTACTTAGTGTTGTGAGTGGCAGAGATGTGGCCTCTTCGTTTCAGCCGGGCCCTCCCTGGCATTTCAGGGCTGGCTGAGGCTAAAATCCCTCCTTAGATAAAGCCAAGCCCCAGGGTCTTTGTGATGAGCAGGAATTGAGGTCTAAAGAAGCTGTGCTCTCTACCTTGCTTGGAAGCTGCTCCCGGTTTGGGTTAGTGCTGGGTGCAGGCTGTTCTGCTGCAATTCCTAGGGAGGGACAGCAGAGGAAATGTTGCTGGCTCAGGGATGGGGAGGAGCTGAGCAGCTTCAGTGAGCCTGGAGGGGGAGAATCAGGAACTAATGCTGTGAAAAACCCACCCACTTTGTTGAAGGGGCTCAAAGAGGCTGAAAAATACTTTTTCTTTCCAAACCCAAATGGGGCAGCTCCAACGATGGGCACAGTTTGTGTCTGCATTAACTTGCTGGCGCAGTTTGACATTGCACACTTGGCCCAGGCTGTGCTGTGGGGTCCCAGAGCTGTGGCTCAGCTGCCTCCGTGCGAGGGTGAAGCAGGGAGGAAGCGACTGCCCCGGGAAGGACGAGTGTCACGGGACTGGCTGGGGCACTGGAAGCGGATGATGACAGAGCTAAAGCTGAACGGGGACAGGGAAGTGCTGGGTAGTGGGGAAGTGGAGAAAAGGGGAGCAAAATTAGAGGTAATGGTGACCGCAGGGAGGGGAAAGTTCTTGGTTTGCAAAGGACAAGTTCACAGAATCATGGAATGGTTTGTGCTGAAGGGACCTTAAAGCTTTTCCAGCCCCACCCCCACCACGGGCAGGGACACCTTCCACTAGAGCAGGTTGCTCCAAGCCCCTGTGTCCAACCTGGCCTTGAACACTGCCAGGGATGGGGCAGCCACAGCTTCTCTGGGCACCCTGTGCCAGTGCCTCAGCACCCTCACAGGGAAGAGCTTCTGCCCAAGAGCTCATCTCAGTCTCCCCTCTGGCAGGTTAAAGCCATTCCCCTTGGCCTGTCCCTACAGGCCCCTGTAAAAGAAGTTGTGATAGTTTTTCTTGAAGGGGCTACCAGCGTTGGCTGGTTCTCCTCTTGCTTGCCCAGTGAGATGGAGCTGCTCCTCCCCAGCAGACAGAGCTCAGCACATGGGGACACAGCTTTTCCCAAGCTGCTCCTTCCTTCTGCAGTTAAGAAGCCACCGTGCTGGTGAGCAGGGCCCTGGGAGGGGGACAAATCCATCAGCAAGAGAGTAAGAACCGAAAAGCAGAGGCAGCATCAGCCTTGGTAACCACCTCCACAGCTCCCACAGAGCAATGGAGCAACTTCCCCAAGAAGCCCACACAACTAAACCGACAACTCGGAGCAATGGGGACTATGAGACACAGTGAGAGAGAGGCAGGAGCTGCGAGATGAGCTGGCCAAGGAAAACCAGAGGAGACTCATGGGCAAGGACTTGTTTTATAGATTGAGCCGTGCTAATTACAACAGGTTTGTGTGGAGTGGAACACTTTGGTTATGCTGCTCCCTCTGAACTGGGTCCAGCCACAGAGGCATCTTCTAGAAAGAGTCAGTGGTGGAGACACGAGGCCCACAGAGGTAACTGGTGCTCATGGTTGTGGTGGGTCGCTCATCTCCCTCCCCTCCCCACAGCCCATCAAGCTCTTGTCATGTTTGATGGCACTGAGGGAGCTCCAGATCACCCCAGAGAGGCAACAGATGAAGAGAAGTGACTGGGCTCAGCTGTAAGAGCTACAAAGAGCAACCTTTTGAGGTACCCGCAGCCCATCAAGCTCTTGTCATGTCTGATGGCACTGAGGGAGCTCCAGATCACCCGAGAGGCAACAGATGAAGAGAAGTGACTGGGCTCAGCTGTAAGAGCTACAAAGAGCAACCTTTTGAGGTATTAAGTTATTCCCTGTTCATCCCAATAGCATCACTGGTATCAGAGGCACGAGGTCCCTCAGCAGTACCCTCTGCCACCCTGTGCTTTAGCAGCACAACATGTCAGGCTCAAGTCCTCTTCTCCCAAGAGCTGCCAGGGTGGAGGAGCTGGTTTGCCCAGCGTTGAGGTCAGCTTTTGTGTCTGCATCCTCCTCTTGTCCCCGCGGGGCAGGTCCCTCTGTCAGCTCTCCAGGCTGTCCCCGGGCTCACCCAGAAGAGCACCCCTCTCTTCACGGGTACCAGGTTTTCCTCTCCGATAGGCAAGGAACTGGAAGGAGATCTGAAGGGAAGTTCAGGCTCTTCCCACAAGCAAGGGTGGATCTACGGATGCGTTGGGTCTCATCACCTGAACAAAGGCTGCTTGTGCCAGGAGATGTGCACACAAGGGACTGAAGCATTCAGCTGTTGCACCACCACAATTACTCACTGGCATATGGGTGAGCGAGCACAGCTCACAGCAACCACAGAGGGACACCAACCCTCCCGCTGCTGCCTGCCCCAGGAGGGGACAGGATCCAGGAGGGAAGCACTGGCAGGGAAAGGATACGACCACGTCGAGGGAAAGGACGCCCAGGCTGCCCACCAGCCAGGGGAGGTGGTGCAGGACGTAGTCACCTTCACTTTGCCCTGGCTCAGGGTTCTTCAGGAGGACACTGAGGCCGTAGAGCGAGTTCCCCAGCATCACCAGGGCAAAGAGGGAGTAGGAGATCCCGATGGTGGATTTCCTCTTGTACTGGAAGAAGAGAGGCCAGAGAGACAAGTGTGGGTGCAGCTCTCTGAAATCTCACGTGGAAGTGGTATTAATCACCCTCCTCCCCAAAAAAGAGAAGAAAAAAAAGGCGGTGACTCAATGCTAAGAGCCTTTGAGTTCCCCCTTTGCTTATAAATTAAGACAAAATGAAAGCCCCACCCTGAAAATATTATTATGTTAAAGGGAAGGGAGAAAAATGAATCAGGTTTTGGAGCAGAAATACAGAAAAATAGTCCCTTATGAAGTGATCAGAGGTGGGACCTGTGAGCAGAGAGGAGAAAGGTGATCCCACCACCATCTCCATCCGAAACCTCAGGGCCTGTCCTAGCACTTACATTCGTGTAGATCTGGGGCACCCGGGAGCACAGGTACAGCAGGGAGGAGACGGAGCCGATGGCGAAGCCGATGATCTCGCTGCTGGTGAAAGGCTGCAGGGCACAGGGGGCACTGAGCAGCCCCGTGGTCCGAGCTGTGCCCACCACGGCCAACCCCTGCCCCTCAGCTCCCACCCAGCACCAAGCGGGGTGCCCAGGTCCAGCAGGATGCGCCCACCCCACCAGACGCTTTGTCTTCTCCCCCCCTCACCCAGCTCACCTCTGGCACCTGAGTGGAGAGCAGGGACCTTCCTCTGAACACCACCGGCTCCCGCGCCACGGCAGCACCTCTGCCCAGGAGGGGGGCTGCCGACAGCGTCCCCAGGGAAAGGAAGATGAAGGCTGCGTTGATCTGGGCAGCGACTGCAGGGGATGGAGCAGAGGCTGGGGAGG